TGGCCTACTTATGCATACAATCTGCCTTAGGATAAAGAGGTGACACTACTAAGCCAGGTGACTGACACCTGTAATTCCAACACTTGGGAGGAGTCAGGCACGGTGAAGCATAACTGTAATACCACTGCTCCAGAGGGAAGACAAGAGGATTGTAAGTGTGAGGCCAGCTTTGGAAACACAGACGATACCTCAAATTTGAATAAATGTATTACAGATGTAGCTCAATGGTAAACTACCTGTCTAGTATTTGTGAGGCTCTGGATACCAGTACTAGGAAGATTTATTTTGCAATTACATTATATATATTTTTTCTGAAAAGGGAGACATGCATGGAGGTCAGAGGACAACTTTTAGGAGTCACTCCTCTCCTTTCATCATGGGGGCCTGAGGGATCAATCAACGGTCACCAGGCTTGGAAACAGACTCTTGTCACCCACTGGACCATCTCTCAGTCCTTTTTCTGGGTTTTTGTTTTGTTTTGGAGACAGGACCTCACTATGTAGTCCTGGCTACCCCTGAAATTGCTATATAGAGCTCACAGGGCTACCATCTAGTGCTTAGATTAAAGGTGTAAAACACCATACCAGACCCTTTTCAGTTATTTTTGAGCCCAGTGTTATGTAACCTTGGCTAGCCTGTTGTTACTCAATACACCAGGCTGCCCTTACATTAGAGACAGTCTTCCTGCCTAAGCCTCTGAATGCTGGAATTAAAGACATGAAACACCATACTCTGCCTTTGATAACATTTTTTTTTGGTTTTTGAGACAGGGTTTCTCTGTATTGTTTTGGAGGCTGTCCTGGAACTCGCTTTGTAGACCAGGATGGCCTCGAACTCACAGAGATCCACCTGCCTCTGCCTCCTGAGTGCTGGGATTAAAGGCGTGAGTCACCAACGCCCGGCGATAACATTTTTTTCTCATAACAATTTGTGTGTGGGCATGCATTTGTGTGAGGGAGTTTAGGTGCATCAGCCAAGGAATGCTTGTGGAGGCCAGTGAACAACTTTGATTATTGGTCTTCACCTTCCACCTTGAAATTGTTAACCAATTGTGCTGGCTAATATGCCAAATTGACACAAGCTACAGTCATCTGAGAGGAGAAAACCTCAATGAGGAAAATGCCTCCACAAGACTGAGCTGTAGGCAAGCCTGTAAAGCATTGTCTTAATTAGTGATTGGTCGGGGAGGGACCAGCCCATTGTGGGCGGTGACATCCCCAGGCTGGTGGTCCTGGGTTCTACAAGAAAGCAGGCTGAGCAAGTCATGAGGAGTAAGCCAGTAAGCAGCACTTCTCTATGGCCTCTGTATCACTTCCTGCCTCGCCTGAGTTCTTGACTTTCTTTGATGATGAACTGTGAGTAGAAATGTAAGCTACATAAACCCTTTCCTCCTCAACTTGGGTTTTTGTTTGTTTGTTTTTTCGAGACAGGGTTTCTCTGTGTAGCTTTGGAGCCTATCCTGGCACTCTCTCTGTAGACCAGGCTGACCGTGAACTCACAGAGATTTGCCTGCCTCTGACTTCCAAGTGCTGGGACTAAAGTCGTGTGCCACCACTGCCCGGCTCAACTTGTTTTTGGTAATGGTGTTTCATCACAGCAATAGTAACCCTAAGATACCACTGCATATGCTAGACTAGTTGGCCTAAAAGCTTCCAGGAGTTTCCTATCTCTGTCTCACATCTTGATGTAAAAGCTCTTAGGATTATAGCAGTGCTACAAAGCATTCTGGAGATTTGAACTTAAGTCTTCATGGTTACATGACACACACTTTACCCACTGAACTATTTCCCCAGCTCTGATAAAAAAAAAAAAAAAAGACAAACAGGGGCTGGAGAGATGGCTCAGCGGTTAAGAGCACTGACTGTTCTTCCAGAAGTCCTGAGTTCAATTCCAGGCAACCACATGGTGGCTCACAACCACCTTGAATGAGATCTGGTGCCCTCTGCCGGCCTGCAGGCAGAAGGCTGTATACACAATAAAAATATTTTAAAAAAAAGACAAACAGATGGCTGCAGAGATGTAAAAGCTCGTAGGATTAGTGGGTAAAAGTGTTTGCAGTAAAGCCTGAAGACAAGAATTGGGTTTCTGCAACCTACATGGTAGAAGGACAGACTATTGCAAAGACAGACTACTGCATATTGTTTCTCCAGGACACATGATCACTTGCCCCTGCCCACTCTGAGGGCATTACAAATAAGTGTAATAAAAAAGGAAATTCTGATAGATGCTACAACATGGACTAATCCTGAGAACATCATTTAAGTGAACAGAAGGATAGTTAAGATACTATTCCATTTGCACAAAGCAGCTATTCATAAAAATCAGACTCAAAACTGAACGGAAAATGGCCAGGTGTTGGTGGAGTACTCCTTTAATTCCAGCATTTGGGAAGTAGAGGCAGGCGGATCTCTGTGAGTTCGAGACCAGCCTGGTCTACAGAGTGAGTTTCAGGACAGGCTCCAAAGGCACAGAGAAACACTGTCTCGAAACAAAAACAGGCAAAACAAACAAACAAAACAAAACAAAACAAAACCCAAAAAAGTGGAAGTAACTGACAGGAACTGAGAGGTGCTAGATTGAAAATTTCAGGAGAGTAATGAAAATCTCTCTCTCTCTCTATCATACACACAAATACACACACACACACTCTAGGGTGTGGTTTTTGTTTTGTTTGCCTTTTTTTGGTGTGTGTGTGTTTTTTAGTACTGGGGACTGGACTGATCCTCACAGGCAGTAAGGAGACATATCCCCAGCTCCTTCTACTTTTCCTCATTAGGTTTCAGCTGGACTTGTGCTCACTCTGTATGCCTACGTGAGCCTTGCACTTTTATTACCCTGTCTCAACCCCTTGAATAGCTGGGACTACAGGTCTGTGTCACTCTGTCTAGTGAAAACCAAATGGTAGATGATAACAGCACACAATAAACAAAGTGCACAGACAAGTACTTTAGCTCCCCAAGATGATGAGATAAAAACTTAGAAAGCAAATCCACTGCATTTGGTCAAACTGAAGAGGTATTGCTACTTTTACGTCCATTCCCTTTTAAATTCATCACCTTTTTACCCAAGAATCCAACTGCTTTATAAACACTAATAATAATTATTGAAAGCTCAGATATAAATCCTATATAAGTTAAACAATATTCTTACAGAAACCATATTTTGTCCAGTCTTACCACACAGGATAAATACAATAATTTGTATTTATTTGGAGCATTTGGAGATTGCTTAGGTTTAAATTTTAGTTTCAAGAAAACTGTGCTGAGTTTTAAATATCCTCAAATGCTTAAAAAATAAAGATTTAGTATATATACAGTGTTCTGCCAGTATGTATGCCTGCAGGCCAGAAGAGGGCACTAGATCTTATTGTAGATGGTTGTGAGTCACCATGCAGCTGGTGGGAATTGAACTCGGGACCTCTGGAAGAGCAGCCAGTGCTCTTAACCACTGAGCCGTCTCTCCAGCCCCATTCTCACACTCTTTATGACATGTCTATGCAAATTTAACATGAGATTCACTATACTCCTCAACATGTTGCTTCCTCCCTTAAAGCTCCGAGTAAAACTCTAGGCTAAGAGTCATTGCCAAGGGAGAGGTGAGAACGTCCAGCAGGCAAAAGGCCTGGTTGCCAAGACTGATAACCTGAATCCCATCCCCAGAACCCACACGATGGAAGCCAAGAACCAACTCCTCTGACCTCCACACTAGCACCATGGCATGTGTGCCTACACAAACAAAAGAAATGTAACAATAAAGAGTTGTTGCCGACAGTTAGGGCACAAACGGAGAGGGGCGTATACGCCCGAATTCAGAGATCCACCTGCCTCTGCCTCCCGAGTGCTGGGATTAAAGGCGTGTACCCCCCCGTTTATTATTTATTTATTTTCGAGGCTGGGTTTCTCTGTGTAGACCAAGCTGGCCTGGAACTGAGAGATCCCTGCCTCGGCCTCCTGAGTGCTGGGATTAAAGGTGCGCGCCACCACCGCCCTGCGTTGGAGGTTTATTTTAATGTAGGGGTACGAGGCACTTCATTACATCATCCTCCATACTTCTTATGCAAAAAAAAAAAAAAAGCCCTTGTGAGTCACCTTCCAAACTTCCTATCTCCCCAAAAGATGTTTGGAAGTTCCTTCCGTTACTTCTAAAGGGGTCCAGTCCCTCCCACGTAGGACACCAGAGGCCCAGGCTAGACGAGGACCAGACAACAGGCTCACGATTTCTTACTTTTCCAGCTACTTCATACACTAGGCAGGCCAGCGGACATGGATCCTCTCAGAAACCGCCACGCTCTCGAGCGAACACCCAGCGCCTCACGCCCCACGCCCCGGAAGGCGTGCTGCGTGGGCTTGCGTGGGCGTCACGCTTGAGCGCCAACTGCTCCTCGCTAACGGCCCCCCCAGATGGGGGGCTGGCCCACAATCCCTTGCGAGGGCGGGAGCCGTGATGGGGAGGCAAGTGAGGGGGCCCAGCTAGGACACGGAAAGCCTCCTGCAAGAGTCATCTGAGGTTTTCACGGCCAGAACGGGCAACTGACCAGTATTCGGTTGCTGCCGCTGCTACTCCTTCCACCTAGGGAGATAATTTCTATTAAAGACTCGAGGAACCCATGAAACAGGCCCGAGCAAGGGAATGAGGCACGTGGGCCTCATCACCAGCCTCACGCCTCCAGCCTCGCTGCTTTTTTTTACTGTCAAGCTAAACCCTCGCAAAGGGAACCCCCCAAAAGTGCTTCGGATGAGTCACATTACAGAACATCGCTACCCGTGAACACCCGTGGGGTTTCCTCAGCAGCAAGGCCTCGTGAGGCTAGGCCGCGCGGGCCCCACCCCTTCCGCCGTACGCATGACGTCACACGACATGGCTCGGGGCGGGCGGGGCTGGGGGGCCGCTCCGTCTTTCGCGCCTCTGGCTCTACGTCACCTCGTGAGGCTAGACCGCGTGAGTCCCGCCCCTTCCGCCGTACGCATGACGTCACACGACATGGCTCGGGGCGGGCGGGGTTTGGGCCGCTAGGACTTTCGCGCCTCTCGCTCTACGTCACTGTGTGCGTAGGCGCCGAGCTTTCAAAATGCAGCGGGAGTTAGTGAGTTTCCCGCTGTCTCCCGCGGTGCGAGTGAAGTTAGTGGCTGCGGGTTTCCAGACTGCCGAGGACATCCTGGAGGTGAAGCCCTCCGAGCTCAGCAAAGGTAACGACTCCCGGCGGCCAGCTGATGCACCGCGGCCGCTTGGCGCCGCCTCCGTCTTCGTTCTCCCGCCACCGCATTTACGACGTAAAGCTAGTCTTTCACTCCGCTTGGAAGTTTTCTTGAGGCTGGGACTGTGTGGAAAGACATGCACTGATTGCTTTCTCTGTGCGCGCGCCTCCTGGATGCTTTGAGGACTGCAAGTCTCTTGTACCAGGCCTCATCTATAGATGAAAGAAACAATTTTCATTTATTTTTTTGCCTTTTCGAAACAGGTTTTCTCTATGTAGTTCTGGCCGTCCGGGAACTCACTCCATAGACCAGGGCTGGCCTCGAACTTAAAGAGATCTGCCTGCCTCTGCTTCCCTGAGTGGAAAGAACCAATTTTTCATCTTACAGTTTCGAGATAACTGAGTTGGATAATAGTTACTCTACAATTAGAAAACAGACAAGCCATGTAATTCTCCTTGTTCCAAGATCCTAGGGGGGTGAAAATTGAACTCGAAAAGTGAAGGATTAGAGTAGGACTAGAGACACTTAAGAGAAGGAAGAGAACATTCCCTTAGATCAGGAGAAATCCCTTCATGATTCATGGAATACCCCAAACATTTTTCTCGAGGTCTTCAGATTACATATAAGTGGGAACCACTGCATCCTCAGTCCTCACACAAAAGTAAAAGTGGCTGTGGTCATCCACTGTGCAGCTGTCCACTAAAGAGGATGGAATGGAATCTGGTTAGGGTTTGGGTTTTTTTGTTTTTCGAGACAGGGTTTCCCAGTAGCTATGGAGCTAGTCCTGGAACTTGGCTCTGTAGATCAAGCTGACCTAGAACTCACAGAGATCCTCCTGCCTCTGCCTCCGGAGTGTTGCGTTTAAAGGTGTTCGAAACCACGTTCAGCTCTGAGTTAGACTTTAAAATCTCTAATGTCAGTTTTTTTTCCTGATTTTATTTTCAGAAGTTGGAATATCTAAAGAGGAAGCTTTAGAAACTCTACAAATCCTAAGAAGAGAGTGTCTCACAGATAAACCCAGATGTGCTGGTACATCTGTGGCCAGCAAGAAGTACACAGCACTGGAGCTTCTTGAGCAGGAGCACACCCAGGGCTTCATAATCACCTTCTGTTCAGCGCTAGATAACATTCTTGGGGGTGGAATACCCTTAATGAAAACAACGGAAGTTTGTGGTGTACCAGGTGTTGGAAAAACACAGTTATGGTAAAATAGGGTGTTTCCTACTTAAGGATAGACTTAGTATTTCATGTAACTAATGGAATTTTGTGCTGTGAGTTTGTAGTCAGAATACCAAAAAGCATGTTACTACTTGATGCATCAAACAATCAGCTTACCATTCATAGTATCTCAATACCCCATCTCGGTAAATGGATAGAATGGTTTTGATATCAAAAATGTTTCTTTTGTAATATAATGTGGTCCCTAAAGAGATACTTTACTAACTAGTTGGCTTCAGAGATATATTTGTCAAATGTTTAAAAGTTGATTTATATGTGATAAAGAGTTCTGAACCAGGGTTGGTGACATTACTCAGGGTATTTAAGCAGGATTGCTGTGAGTTGGAGGGCAGTCTGGGCTTTATGACAATTGTTAGACCAGTCAGGGATATATAGTGACCCTGTCCCCCCCCCAAAAAAAAAGTATGTCTGCATGGATGTGGTGGCACACTCCTGTAAACAGCAGCATGGCTTCGGGTGGAGACTGAGAAGGATTGAGAGTTGAAGGCTCAGCCTGGGCTACATTTCCAGACCCTGACTCAAGAAGGAGAAAATACAAAGCATTCAATTCCCAGAAACCTGGAAACCACTAAGAGTTCCCTAGTCATAATTTTGTGCAACACCCTAACTATAATCTAGATGTCTATTGGTTCATATGTGTTTGGAGCTATGGAGAGTTAGCCCTCTCTGTTGCCATGGGAAACTATATTTGCAATTAGAAAACTTTTGATGGTCTAGCCAATTATTATGTGCAGTTTACAAAAGACATTTAGATGGTTATGATAATGATTTGGTCATTTGGCTGATTTCTTGACAGTATGCAATTGGCAGTGGATGTGCAGATTCCAGAATGTTTTGGAGGAGTGGCAGGTGAAGCAGTGTTTATTGACACAGAGGGAAGTTTTATGGTTGATAGAGTGGTAACCCTTGCAAATGCCTGCATTCAGCACCTTCACCTTATAGCAGGAACACACATGGATGAAGGTAAGTCAGCACTTGGTACTCCTTCTGTACAAAAGAGATGATTTGTATTTGTGCCCATCTCAGACCTCAGTAGGAGACTGTGAAGCTTATTTTAAAATTTTTATTTTATATGTGTTGGTGTTTTGTCTGCATGTATGTCTGTGTGAGGGTGTCAGATCATGGAGTTACAGACAGTTGTGAGCTGCCAAGTGGGTGCTAGGAATTGAACCCAGGTCCTTTGGAAGAGCAGTCAGCACTCTTGACTGCTGAGCCATCTCTCTAGCTCCCCAAACTTGAAACTTAATAACTGAACTCCAGTACTTTTGTTGCAAAATGATAACCTAGCTATCTGTGATCCTTCTGCCTTAGTCTCCCAAATGCTGGAATGACAAACCTGTGTCATGCCCAACTTAGCAGTCATTACTTGTTTTTCATTTAAGAGTGTGTGTGTGTGTGTGTGTGTGTGTGTGTGTGTGTGTGGTTTTTCAAGACAGGGTTTCTCTGTGTGACAGTCCTGGCTATCCTGGAACTCAGTTTATAGACCAGGTTGGCCTTGAATTCACAGAGATTCACCTGCCAACCCTCATAAGTGCTGGGATTAAAGGTATTCACCACCACACCCAAAACAGTTCATGTTCTTAACCACTGAGTCACTTGTCCCGCACAAGAGCCATTACTTTTATAGGTCTTTGGCCAGCATGAAGGCTCAGCAGATAAAAGTGCTTGTCACCAAGCTTGGTGTCAATTTGATCCCTAGAAGCGATGGGGTGGAAGGAGAGCTCCTGAAAACTGTCTTCTGACAGCCACAGATGCACTGTGGCTTTGCATAAGGGCCCACACGCAGTTCATTAAAAACAAAAACATCGTTTTCTCTTGGCATATGTCTTTTCAGTAAAGATCCTGAAAAGGTAGGAGACAAAATAGTTCTTCTGTCTAAAATGTCTTACCTCTGTCACAATCTGTACTTAAATAAATACCTTCAAATCTAGCTGCGTTTACAGTAGATGCACAGAGGCACTGGGATGTGAAGGGTTAATGACTGGTGTGTAGTCAAAGCTAAGGAGTTTTGTTTTTGTTTTTAAACTACCTTATTGTATATTTGAAGAAGCCATTTTACTAACCTGAAATCTAGTTCCCAGGAAATCCTTGTACTGCCACATGCCTGAGTATGAACATGAGATGGAGCCTCCTGCCTCCTTTGCCCCCGCTGGGACTGCTGGTGTGAGCTACCCAGTGCAGCTAATTTCTTCATGGTGTTTGTTTTGTTTTTACTTTGTCCTGTTTTTTGTTTTGTTGGTTTTTTTTTGTAGTGTTGGGGAAATGTTACTCAAGCATGCTCTCTCTGAGCTTCATTCCAGCCCCTGTTCTTTGTGTGACTCTGCACCCACTTGTGCATAAATGTGCTTAGGACTGAACCCAGGGCCTTGCTCATAGTAGGCAAGCAACTCCATCTCCAGCCCCCTGTTGGTTTTGCTTTATAATGTTAAAGCATAAGTACTTTTTTTTGTTTTGTTTTTCGAAACTTTGGCTTTGGAGGCTGTCCTGGAATTAGCTCTTGTAGACCAGATTGGTCTTCAACTCACAGAGGCCCACCTGCCTTTGCCTCCCGAGTGCTGGGATTAAAGGCATGTACCACCACTGCCCGGGGCATAAGTACTTTTTTATTTTGCTTTTTGAGGCAGGGTCTTACTCTGTATCCCAAACTGTCCTGGAACTCACTATGTAGCTTGGACTGGTCTGAAACCCTTAAATTAAAGAGTTTCTGACATTTATTGGGCTGTAGAGATGACTCAGTGGTTGAAAGCACTGCCTGCTTTTCTGAAAGTCCTGAGTTCAATTCCCAGCAACCTTATGGTTGCTCACAACCAACTATACTGGGATCAGTGTCTTCTTCTGGTGTGCAGACATACATGCAGACAAAGCTCCATATGCATAAATAAATAATCTTTCAAAAGAATCATACTTGCTGGGTTGGAGAGATGACTCAGTAGTTAAGAGCACTGACTGCTCTTCCAGAGGACACTGGTTCAGTTCCCAGCACCCACATGCCAGCTCACAACTATCCATAAGAAACACCCATGAGTAAACATCAATTCACATAAAAATTTTTAAAAATCATATTTAGTGTGTATGCACATGTGTAGAGATCAGAGGAAACTTGAGAATTGTTTTCTCTTTCCACTATGTGGATCCTAATGCTTGAACTCAGTTATCATCTTGTCAGCCATCAAATACATCATAGTGGCTGAAGGGAGAGTTCATTTGTTAAAAGATCTTGCTGCTCTTGCAGAGCACCTAGGTTTGGTCCTCAGCACCCACATAGCAGCTTACAACTGTCCGTAGCTCCAGTTCCAGGGGGTCCAGTGCTGCCTTCTGGCCTGCAGGGGTACAAGGCACACATGGTGCACGTACATACAGGTAAAAACCCAATCACATTAAAATATTTTTTTAAAATCTATTTTAATCTCGAAAAACCAAAAAAAAATATATTTTAAAATGCAATAATTAGCCTCTCATTTCAAAACCAAACTTACATTATTTTCTTTTATGTGTTTGGGGGGTTTTACCCGATTATATATATGCACTACATGTGTATAGTGCCTTTGGAGGTCAGAAGAGGGCATTGAATCTTCTAGGACTAGAGTTACAGTCAGTTGTGAGCTGCCATGTAGGTTCTAGGAATCAAACTCTGGTTGCTCTGGAAGAGTACCCAGTATTAACCACTGAGCTATCTTTCTTAGCATCCTCCCCCTTTTATTTTTTGAGACATGATCTCCATATAACTGGTTAGCCAAGAACTTCCTATGTAGACCAAGGTGACCTTGGACTCTAAGCCATACTGACTTTAAAATCCAGTGTTAAGCGGATTTTATATTGGTGTTACTACTTAAAGTTCAAATTACAGTATTAAAGGGAAACTATACTCCACTGGAACATTTTTCCTTTGAATTCTTTTGGGGATTTTTGGTTTTGTTTTGTTCTTCGAGACAGGGTTTTTCTTTGTGTAGACCTAGCTATCCTTGTCCTTAAACTCAGAGCTCTGCCTATACCTCTGCCTCCTGAGTGCTGGGATAAAAGGCGTGTGCCACATTCCCCCATGGCTTTTCCTTTCAATTCTTAATTTGTACTTTTCAAAACAAGAAAAATGTGAATCATGATACTTCTGTTCAGTGGGAATCCATAGCTGGAGATACAAAAAGATAAACAGTAAGTATCTCCTTTTATTTGTGAGTTAACAATCCCTAATATGTTACACATAAAATCAAAGACAAATTAAGTTAGTTGGTTTTGAAACGAGTAACTATTTATTGCTTTTTTTTTTTGAGACAGGGTTTCTCTGTAGCTATGGAGCCTGTCCTGAAACTAACTCTAGACCAGGCTGACCTCAAACTCACAAAAATCTACCTGTCTCTGCCTCCCGAGGGCTGGTATTAAAGGCATGTGCCACCACTACCTGGCTTAATTATTGCATTTTAAAATGTATTTTTTTAATTTTTTTATTTTATTTTTTTTTTTTGGTTTTTTTGAGACAGGGTTTCTCTGTGGCTTTGGAGGCTGTCCTGGAACTCGCTTGGTAGTCCAGGCTGGTCTCGAACTCACAGAGATCCGCCTGCCTCTGCCTCCCGAGTGCTGTAAAAATATTTTAATGTGATTGGGTGTTTGCCTTTGTCTATGTGCATCATGCCTGTGTGATGTACATGGAGACCAGAAGAGGGTATCAGACTCCCTGGAACAGTTGTGAGCTGCTATGTGGGTGCTGGGAGCCAAACCTAGGTCTTCTGCAAGAACAGCAAGAGCTCTTAACAAAACAGTGGAAAACAAAATAATAGATCATCAGTTATCAAATCACAGTTTACAGTGATTTTGCAGTTGTTTTGTCATCCTTTATAAATCATGTTTTACTAGGATACAAATTAGTGATCTAGGATTATCAGACTATTAGAAAAAGAAAAACTGAACTGTTTTAACATTGTTTTGTTGTTTGTTTCAGAACACCAGAAAGCCTTGGAGGGTTTTACTCTTGAAAATATTCTTTCTCATATTTATTATTTCCGTTGTCATGATTACACTGAGTTGCTGGCACAAGTCTATCTCCTTCCAGATTTCCTTTCAAATCATTCAAAGGTATGGATCATACTACTGAAATAATATATTTGAAAGTGTTGATAATGCAGAAATAAACAGTAGAGTGGTATAAACTTGATGCCAGTTCAAAAGTCTCTTCTTTCCCTGCCCTATAACTTATTATATTCTACTTATCTTACATATATATATTTATGTGTATATGTGTATACTTATTTTGCTTTGTTTTGTTTTTTGAGACAGTGTTTCTCTGTGTAGCAGTCTTAGCTATCCTGGAACTCACTTTGTAGACCAGACTGGCCTTGAGATCCACCTGCCTCTTCCTCTAGAGTGCTGAGATTAAAAGCATGGGCCACCCTGCCCAGCTGACCTTGAATTCTCAATCATTCTGTCTTCGGTCAAGTGCTAGGGTACATACTTTTGTTACCATATTCAGCCTTTTTTATTAAATTACTCCTCCACCCCCTTCCTGGAACTTGCACTGTAGACCAGGATGGTCTCAAACTCAGAGATCCTCTGCTTCTTACCTCCTGAGTGCTGGATTAAAGATGTGCGCCACCATGCCTGGCATTTGTTCTGGTATTTATTTATTTATTTTTTTAATTTAAATTGGTTTACCTCTCCTTAATCTATCTTATCTATTTATCTATTTGTCTGTCTCTTTTTGCTGGGGCTCAAAGTTAGAATCTAATCCATGCTAGGCAAGTGTTCTACCACAGATTCTCAGCTTCTATTAGACTGTATTGGTTACTATGGCTTTTTTTTATATATTGAAATTGGGAAACATGAGTCCTTTAACTTTGTTCTTTTTCAAGATTATTGTGGCTGTTTGTGGTCTCTTGCAATTAGTTTTCTGTTGCTGTGATAAAACACTGTGACCAAGGCAGCTTATAGAAGGAAGAGTTTACCTAAGCTTTTGGTTGCAGAGAGCTAAGAGTCCATCATAGCAGGGAGTCATAGAAGGGATGGAGCAGAAACAGCTGGGAGCTCACATACCAAACCAAAGTAGGAAGCAGAGAGAATGGACTGGAAATGGCACATGGCTTTGAACCTCAAAATTTGTCACCAGTGATGTACTTCTTTCAGCAAGGCTACACCTCATAAACCTCCCAAACACCACCACCAACTGGGAACCAAGTATTCAGATACTAGACTGTATGGGGGACATTCATTCAAACCACCATACCATATGAATTTTTGTTAATTTTTTTATATATATGGGCATTTTGCTTGCATGTATGTCTATGCACCATGTGTGTGCAGTGGCCACACAGGCCTGAAAGAAGGCATTGAGTTCTTGGAACTGGAGTTACAGAAGGTTGTGAGCTGCCTTGTGGGTGGTATGTATTGAGCCTGGGTCCTCTGGAAAAGCAGCCAGGGCTCTTAACTGCCAAGCCATCTCACAGCAACAGAAATGAAATTAGAACTATGGCATGTGTACAAAATGCCAGTATTCAGGTGGTGATTACTGTAGAATTATTGGGTCAATATTTTCAAAAAGAAAGAAAGCCTTTGAGAGCTGAGGTATAGTTCAATAGTTAAGAGCACTGATTGTTCTTTAGAGGACCTGGGTTGGATTTCCAGTACCCACATAGTGGCTTACAGCCATCTGTAAAATTGGGCTCTGGGGATCCTTTACCCTCTTCTGGCATTCACAGGCACCAGGCACAAACATGGTACACAGACATACATGCAGGTAAAACACTAATACATGTAATTTAGTAAAGTGAATTTTAAAAGAAAACCTTTGAAGAGTTAGAAAGCCTAGGGTGAGGGATATACTCAGTAGTAGACTGCTTACCATGTATACCACTATGTGCCATAGGTTTAATTCCCAGTGTTATAAAAAAGAAAACTATGCAAATTTCATCTTTATTTATTTAATTTGAGATAGTCTCATTGTAGCCCAGACTAGCCTAAAACTCATGATCCTCTTGCCTTTATCTCCTGCATGCTGAGATTATAGATATATACCACCGTGCCCTCATTTTATTTTTAATAAAGTGACTGGAGGCCCGAAGAGGGCATTGGATCCCCTAGTCAGAGACCTGGAGTTACAAGATGTTGTGAGCTGCTTGAAAAGAATGCTAGGACCTGAAGACTAACACATACTCAAATGCTGAGCCATTTCTCCATTTTCATCATAAATACACAATTAGCTAGCTAGATCTTTTTCTTCTCCCTCCCTCCCTCCCTCCCTTCCTCTCTTCCTCTCTCTCTCTTTCTCTTTTGTCTTTTTTGTAGTTTCTTTGGAAGACAAGAGCTTTGGGGAAGCATACAGTTCAGTCCTTAGTATTAGGGACCACAAATGTCTTGTGGCTCATGCTCTTTCAAGTGCTGATTTGATAGCTGCCACAGGTGATCTGGGCACTATCGGCTGTTACACTGCCATACTATATTTACAAGGGTAAAAGTGAGGGCCTGGGGAGGCTTCTTGGACATCTCTCTTTTTTTTTTTTTTCAAGACAGTTTCTCTGTCTTAAAAGCCCTGGCTGTCCTGGAACTTGCTTTGTAGACTAGACTAGCCTCAGACTCACAGAAATCCACCTGCCTCTGCCTCCCAGAGTGCTGGGATTAAAGGTATGTGTCACCCCACCCAGCTTGATATCTTTCTTTTTTAAGCTCTTAATTTTAAGGTTTATTTCTGTAGTGGAACATGCGTTTGGGATGCCATTTCTGTTATTGTATTTTTAACTCCAGATCTGATTTCACTCTCCTGTGTATAGGTACAGTTAGTGATAATAGATGGCATTGCTCTTCCTTTTCGACATGACCTTGATGATCTGTCACTTCGTACTCGATTACTAAACGGCTTAGCCCAACAGATGATCAGCCTGGCAAATGATCACAGATTAGCTGTAAGTATTAATCAGAAGAATTTTATAGTTCAGACTATGAAATATTAATGTCTAGCTGGGCGGTGGTGGTTGTGCACACCTTTAATTGTAGGACTGGGTTTGAGGCTAGCCTGGTCTACAGAGTGAGTTCCAAGACAGCCAGGATTACATAGAGAAACCCTGTCTTGAAAAACAAAACAAATCAATGTCTAAATTTATACATATTTTGTCTGAGTAAAGATAAATAATGTGAACATAGTTTTGGGGGTTTGTAGTTGTTATTGTGGCTTGTTAGAGACAAAGCCTTGATAAATAGCCTGAAACTTGTTATGTAGTCTGTCCCTTCCTGAACTCTTTATTCTCCTCCCCCAGCCTCCTGAGTACTGAGATAACAGACTTTTGTTGTCATACCTAGCTTTTAATGTAGGAATTTTGTGGAAAAGCCAGTGTTTTCGGTTTTTGTTTTTTTAACAATAGTGATTAGACTCAGCCTCTTGCATGGCAGGCAGGTGTTGTACAGAGCTGCTGCCTAGGCCCGGAGCCATCGGAGATTTGAAGTGAGACGGGAGAAGTACATTGAGCCAAGGAGTGCAGGTTCACCTGTTTGCCATTAATTCCCACTTTGCAAGCGCATCTTCCCATTGACAAAATATACTTGTCGGAAGGGAGGTGGAGATGAAAATGCTTTGAGGTACCCCTTTTTAGGGAAGTTGTTAGCACATGCCTATGATACAACAAAGGTAAATAAAGAACTTCCTCTTTAAATTTGAAACACACGTTTTCTTATTCTTTTTTTTTTTTTTTTTTGGTTTTTCGAGACAGGGTTTCTCTGTGGCTTTGGAGGCTGTCCTGGAACTCGCTCTGTAGACCAGGCTGGCCTCGAACTCACAGAGATCCGACTGCCTCTGCCTCCCGAGTGCTGGGATTAAAGGCGTGCGCCACCAACGCCAAATCTTATTCTTAAGTTACATTTTATTTATTTTGTGTGCCTTGACACTTACATGGTCAGGGGACAATTTACAGAAGTCACTTTTCTCCACGGTGGGGTCTCAGAGATCAAAGTTAAATTGTCAGACTCCTTGGAAAGTGCCTTTACCCACTGAGCATCTTACTGGTCCTCTTGCCACATTCTTTTTGCCAAAGCATAGTGCTCTTTGAATTATTTCTTACTGTTAATTGGAATTTAGAATTGTTAATGATGGTATCCAAATGATCCTCCAGTAGAGGGTGCTCAAGACAAATAGCCTGCATAGTGTCATGGTTTCCTAGGTTTTGGTGGGTTTTTCTTGTTTTGTTGTTTTGCTGCTGCTCCAGTTCAAGACTTCAGACATACTAAGCAAACATTCTGTCATTGAACTACATTGCCTGCCCTGTTTTAGTATACCTCGCTTGCTTGCTTTCTCGCTCTCTCCATTTATATGTATGTAAGTTTTGGTTTGTATGTGTACATGTGTGCACATAGACCCGTGCACAAGTGTGCATGTGCCTGTGGAGACCAGACGTCAACATTGGGTATCTTTCTCAATTTCTCTCCACCTTATTTTTAATTTTGTCTGTTTGTTTTGTTTTGTTTTAAGACAGAGTTTCTCTATGTAGCCTTGCTTTTCTGGAACTCAATCTGTAGACCAGGCTTGCCTTGAACTCAGAGATCCAGCTGCCCCTACCTCTAGAGTACTAGGATTAAAGGTGTGCCCCACCACCGCCAGGGTTGTTTTTTTTTTTTTAACTTTTATATGTGCATGAGTGTCTTACCTGTTTGTATGTTTGTGCACCCATGTCCATGCTGTGTCTAAGGGGCTTTGGATCTACTAAGACTGAATTAAAGCTAATGTTATAGACTTGGATTTTATTGTTTTGGTTTTTCAGGGCAGTGTCTCATTTAGCTCAGATTGCCTTTGAAGTCACTACACAGCTGAGGGTGATCCTGAACTCTTGATCTTACTCTTTCCTTTCTTTTTTTTTTTGGAGACAAGGTCTTACTGTGTAGCTCTATCTGTTCTGGAACTCATATGTTACCAGGCTGGTATCAAACATAGAGATCTGCCCACATCCCAAGTGCTGGGGTTAAAGGTATGGACCACTATGCCTAGCTGTTTTATTTTTATATTGTTATGACAAAACACCATGACCAAGGCAAGTGATTTATAAGTTATTTACTTTTTAAATATTTTTAATTTTATTTAATGGAATACTTTATTTTTGTTTTTACATCCCTACAAAATTTTTCCCTCCCTTCTCTCTTCCCAGTCCCTCCCTGACCAAGGCATTTTATAAAAGAAAGTATGCATGCCATGCTCACAACTTGAATCTTAGCACTTGAGAGGCAGAGGTAGACAGATGTCTATGAGTTCAAGGCCAGCCTGGCCTACAGACCTAGTAGTACTAGGACAACTAAGACTACATACAGAAACCCTATGTTGAAAAAACAAACAAACAAAAAATAATGCATTTAAAGGTACAGCTTGTTTCTCCTTCTTAAGTGCTAGGATCAAAGGAGTATAATACCATATTTGGCCAAATTTTTTATTTTATTTTTTGAGACAGGTCTATGTAGCCCTGGCTGTCCTGGAACTCAGAGCTGCCTTTGTCACCAAGTGCTGGGATTAAAGGCATATGCCACTAGGCCTCAAATTTTGAATTTTAAAAGGAAGGGTACTGGAGAGATAGCTCAGTGGGTAAAGTGTTTTCTTTGGCAGCATAAAGACCTGAGATCAGGACCCTAGAACCCACATAAAAGCGGAACATGGACTGGGGAAGTGGCTCAGAGGTTAGAGCACTGGCTGCTGTTCAAGAGGTTCTGAGTTGAATTCCTAGCAACCACATGGTGGCTCACAACCATCTGTAATGAGATCTGGTGCCCTCACTGTATAGATAATAAATCTTTGGGGGAAGGGAACAGGGAGAGAAAAGGGAGGGGAAACTGTTGCTATGTAAAATAAGTGGAAAAATTTAATAAAAAGAAAAAAACTGAACATGGCAGTGCACTTCTGTAATCCTAGTACTGTGAAGGTGAGGGTGAAGAAATGACTTTGACAGGGGATCCTTTGGTATTGCCAGCCAGGCAGTCTAACTCAAAGAGGAATTCTAGATTCTATGAGAGACCCTATCTCAAAAAGTAAAGTAGATGCCTGGAGGAGGGCATGCACACCTTTAACCCTGGCACTCTGGAGGCACAGGCAGGTGAATCTCTGTGAGTTCAAGGCCAGCCTGGTCTACAGAGTGAGTTCCTGGACAGCTAGGACTGTTACACAGAGAAAACCTGTCTCAGGAAAAAAAATTCAGACAACTGAGCACAAATACCTCATCTCTTCCCCTTTCTTTAGAAAAATTTGTATTTTTAAAGAGTTACTTATTTTGTGTGCATAAGTGTTTGCCTGCACATATATCTGTACTATATGTGTGCCTGGTGCCAGAAGAAGAGGGTGTCAGGTTTTCTGGAACTGAAGTTATAAATCAGCTTCTCAACTTATGGTCATAACCCCAAAAAGACCATCCAAAGACACAGATATTTACATTGTGTTCATAACAGTAGCAAAATTACAGATCTGAAGTAGCAATGAAAATAATTTGACGCTTGGAGGTCACCACAACATGAGGAACAGTATTAAAGGGTCACAAGGAATGTTGAAACCCTTGTTATAGATTGTTATGAGCCTCCATGTGAGTTCTGGAGACTGAATCTGGGTCTTAAATTTGAGCCAACTCTCTAGCCTCTAATATATTTTCTTTTAACTTACTATATTTAGAATATTAAGCTCAGGACTGTTTACATACAACTTTTTTTTTTCGGTAAAGGGTTTCTTTGTATAGCCCTGGCTGTCCCGGAACTCACTTTGTTTTTGTTTTTTTTTTTGTTTTGTTTTGTTTTTCAAGACAGGGTTTCTCTGTATTGCTATGGAGGCTGTCCTGGAACTCGCTCTTGTAGACCAGGCTGGCCTCGAACTCACAGAGATCCGCCTGCCTCTGCCTCCCGAGTGCTGGGATTAAAGGCATGTGCCACCACTGCCTGGCATATCCTAACTTTCTTATGTTTTGCTTTTATAGGTTATTTTAACTAATCAGATGACAACAAAGATTGATAAAAATCAGGCGTTACTTGTTCCTGCATTAGGTTGGTAAATGAATTGGATAAAACATCTTTATTTCTTAATATTTTCCTACCTTTTCATTTGTTTGAATACTATAAGGTTTTGAAAGCAGAGACTGCCTTATTCACTCATCACTAAGCAGTGTCCTGAGATGCTGACTAATCCTTTCATAATTTAGCAAACACTTATTGAGTAGATAATATCTAGCAACTCTGCCAGAAACCTGAGAAGTAAATATTCAAAGTAGGATTCTAGACATTAAAACCTCAGTTTTGCTGGATGGTGGTAACTCACATCTTTAATCCTAGCATCCAGGAGGCAGAGGCAGGTGGATCTCTGAGTTCAAGGCTAGCCTGGTCTACAAAGAGAGTTCCAGGACAGCTAGGGCTAAACAAAGAAACCCTGTCTCTAAAACCAAACAAACAAAACCTCCTCAGTTTTAGGCAGGAAGGAGAATGAGTCTATTTAATCCTAACGTTGAGATTTTATTTGAACGCAATGCTTCAAGATGTATCTCTGCTGAAATCCAGTAATACTCTGTGCCAAGCATGGTGATACAGAAGTGCAGCTCCTGCTCCTCTCAAGGCTGAAGTAGGAGGGCCTGGACTGCATCATGAAACCTTTGGTGCACATCTTTAATCCCAGCACTCAGAGGCAGAGGCAGGCATAATTCAAGGCCAGCCTGGTCTATGGGAGTTCTAGGCCCATCAGGCCCACAGTGAGACCCTGTTTGTGGGTGTTAAAAATACATAGTAGACCTTATGAAATGGAAGGTTGATAATCCACTGAACTTAATCTTTTCATGAAACAAATATAGGATAATGATTTGCATTGCTTTCCTAGATAAGTAGAACTCTATCACTATTAGGATCTTACTCATACCCTGCAGGTTTTGAAGCCAAGAACATTCTTTGGTTTATTTGTTTGTATTTTGTCTGTATAGCCCTGGCTGTTCTGGAACACACTCTGTAGACAAGGCTAGCCTCAACTGATAGTTCTGCCTGCCTTGCCTCCTGAGTGCTAGGATCAAAGATGTACACCACCACTGCCTGGCCCAAGAATATTCTTTTTTTTTTTTAAGTAAATACTTTATTATTATTATTATCATGTATTTATTTTTCTTGGTTCTTGACAGGGTTTCTCTGTGTAACTAATTGCTCTTGCTTCCTGGAACTTGCTCTGTAGACCAGGCTGATCTAGATCTCAGAAACCTATCTGTGTCTGCCTTCCAAGTGCTGGGATTAAAGGCATGCACTACCACTGCCTGGTCCAAGAATATTCTTATTCTAAATTTGGTAACATAAGAGTATTTGGCCAGGGGGCTGGAGAGATGGCTCAGAGGTTAAGAACACTGGCTGCTCTTCTAGAGGTCCTGAGTTCAATTCCCAGCAACCACATGATGGCTCACAACCATCTGTAGTGAGATCTGGTGCCCTCCTCTGGCCTGCAGGCATACATGGAGTGCTGTGTACATAATAAAATCTTAAAAAAAAAAAAAGAGTATTTGGCCAGAGACTTCTAAGGAACCTATAACATTCTAAAGGTACTATATAGTTAATTCTTTTCTTTTTTTTTTTTTTAGGGGAAAGCTGGGGACATGCTGCTACTATACGACTTATTTTTCACTGGGAACAAAAGCAAAGGTCAGTATACAAATAGGTTCATAATTCAGTATATCAGTCTAATTACACTGAACACTTAATGGTTTCTAGCATTAGTTCCCAGCTTGAGATTTGCGGTGACCCATAAACCACTGCTTTTTGTTGCCTTGTTTGACATCAGTTAGAGAAAACACAGAAACACGATGTTAATATTGCACATTCAGCTACATAGGGAATTCTTTGTATATTTAAATGATGGGGTGAATGCACCTGGAACATGTAGGTGGCTAAGGAATTGCTGCCTTCTAATACTCTTTGAAATTACTTATTAGCTATGAAGAAGGACGTGGTACTCTGTGTTCCCAAAAGGGATTGAAAGAATAAAATCAGGACAAAAGGGAAACTTTTGAGGTTAGTGTTAGGGCTAATATATGTGGAAAATAGGATAGTTTTTCTTAGTTGCTTAATATAGTTCTTGCATGAAATTGTGTCTGTCATTTTTTTTCCTTTTATTACCCATGTATTTACCTGCCTTTCACACATATTGTTCTTTAAAATAAAATCATGGCAGCATGAAGCCTTTGTGTTTATTTCTAAAGCTGCTGAGCAAGTGAACGAACCAGCTTTCCTTTTCTTTAAAATAGGCCACTGAAAGCTATGAAGTCTTTTATTCTGAACTTCAAAAAATGTCAGATTTATGCCAGTCTTTCTGCTTTGTGATTAATTGGCACAACCTAGAGAACTTGGTATGGAAGTATTCTGATAAAGGAGGAAACTGAGGCAGTATGTAGGGCAATATTGAGCTTAGTTGGTGACACTGTAATTTTTTTTAGAAAGCTGCATTACATGCCACCTTCTAATGCTCTTTCTAATCCATATTGTTGCTAGGTATGTTGGCACACGTCTGTAATTGCAGCACTCTGGAGACTGAGGCAGAATAGCCTGAGTTTGAGGCTAACACGGGTTGTATAGTTCCATATCAGCCTAGGACAGTGAAACTGCATAAAAAAGAAAAGAAAGCCGTATCATGAGACTCTGTTTGATGTACAAATTTTCTTGGGGGGTAGAGGGTTTTGGTACAGGGTCTTTCTAGTAATCTTGGCGGTCCTGGAGTTCAGTATGTTGGCCAGGCTAGCCTTGAACTCAGATCTGCCTGCCTCTGACTTCTGAGTGCTGAGATTAAAGGAGTGTGCCAACACTTACAGCTTTATTAAATTTGTAAAAATGGATTTATTTATTTTATGTGAGTAATCTTCCTACCTATTTTTGCCTATATGTATGTGTAACACTATATGTCTGGTGCCCACAGAGGTCAGAAGAAGGCATTGGATACCCTGGAACTGGAATTACAGATGGTTGTAAGCCACCATGTGGGTGCTGGGAATTGAATCAGAGAGTCTTCTGCAAGAGTAATGAATGCTTTTGACTACTTAGCTACCTCTCCAGCCCTTATAGTCTCTGTTTCTTGAGAAGTAGCCTCTGTAAAAGAGAGGCAGACTGCATGAGTCAGTTCTAAAAGATTGTACTGAAGTGTAGTCACTAAAACCTAACTTGGTCAGGAATGAATTTTTCTCTTTCTCCTATAACAACTGTTTTCTAGAAGATAATTATGATATTGTATGCAAACCTGAATGTATAGCTTTTATTCTTCCTTCTCTAGTAAAGAGTTTTTTCTCCAAATTGTTTCTCTTATGTCCATGGATATATGACAGTAATATGCTTACTTTATTTTTGGTTGTGAGTCTAGCCTCTCTAGTTTGGTATGCATACTTTATAAAAATCAGAATTAATTGACTTTGTTTAGTAACTTAAGAATCAATATATTTTTGTTCTTTGTTTGAAACCAAATACTTTAAGATTTTTTTTTTTTTAAAGATTTATTTATTTATTACATACACAGTGTTCTGTCAGAAGAGGGCACCAGATTGAATTGTAGATGGCTGTGAGCCACCATGTGGTTGCTGGGAATTGAACTCAGGTCCTCTGGAAGAGCAGTCAGTGCTCTTAACCTCTGAGCCACCTCTCCAGCCCCCAAATACTTTAAGATTTTAAAAATTTAAATTAAAAAGAAGCTTGTTTTACATGTCAATCCCAGTTCCCTCTCTCTCCTCTCCTCCCATGCCCCCACCAACTCCCTATCCCATCCCCTTTCTGGTCCCAAGGGAGGGTGGGGGATCTTCAAAGTCTGTCATATTATTTGGAACAGGGCCTAGGCCCTCCCCCATGTATCTAGGCTGAGAGAGTATCCCTCTATGTGGAATGGGCTCCCAAAGTCCACTCGTGTACTAGGGATAAATACTGATCCACTGCCAGAGGCCCCATAAATTGTCCAGGCCTCCTAACTGACACCCATGATCAGGAGGTCTGGGTCGGAAACCAAATACTTTTGTCTTTAAAGTTTTGTGAAATCTTTGCATGTAGGCACTATGGTGGTTTTGTTTGGTTTTGGTTTGGGGTACTGGAAATTGAAATGAGGACATTTGTGCATTCTAAATAACAAGCTCTCCCACTGAGCTGTAGTCCCTTGCATAAGATAGCATAAAGTAATGTTTTTCTTCTTTTTTTCTTTTTCTTTTCTTTTTTTGTCTTTTTTGTTTTGTTTTTTGAAACAGGGTTTATCTGTAGCGTTGGAGGTTGTCCTAGAACTAGTTCTTGTAGACCAGGCTGGTCTTGAACTCACAGAGGCCTGCCTGCCCCAGCTGTAATGGTTTTCTTTTTTCTTTCTTTCTTTTTTTGTTTGCTTTTGAGATGGGTTATCAAGTAGCCCAGACTGGCCTGGAACTTACTAGATACCATAGGATGGTTTTAATTCTTGAAACTTTTATCTCTACCTTGTAAGTAGTAGAATTATAGAAGAGTACTACTACAACCCACTTTCTTCCCTGATATTGGAGAATTGGGGCCTGGGAAATGCTAGCTAAACACTCTGCCACTATCTGTATACTTTTACATGCTTTTTAGAATTTTATTTTAAAAATATGAAAAAATTTATAAATTTATAATTATAAAAAAACGACGGTTTAGTTTTGAACAGAAAAACTGAAAACCTTGAATAACAAATGTATATTGTAATGAAAACCTTGAATAACAAATGTATATTGTAAATTGAACTTAGACATTATCATGTCCTAGTTTCCATCCTTCACTACTTAATATCTGATTTTACATTTTGCTGTTTCGTTTTGTTTTGTTCTGTAGCTTTGGAGCCTGTCCTGGAACTCACTCTGTAGACCAGACTGGCCATGAACTCACAGAGATCCGCCTGCCTCTGCTTCCTGAGTGCTGGGATCAAAGGCGTGTGCCACCACTGCCTGGCAGCTTTTTGTTTTGTTTTGTTTTGTTTTTGTTTTTTTCTTTAAGACAGGATCTTTAGCTCTGACTGGTCTAGAACTTGCTATGTAGATCAGACTGCCTCTGCCTCCCCAGTACGAGGATTCAAATTGTGAACCATCACACCTGCCCAGTAACATCTGATTTTTAACCTTTGACAAATAAGAGAACGACATTCCAATAATTCTTACATGATTGTGTCTGTGTCCTTATATTATGTGGGTTCCCCAATTTGCATATTCATGATAATATGAGGCCAAGATTGTTCAGAATTATATCACTCGTTGCCAAGAAGATCTGGTGGCGGAGTGGAGTAATACATCACTCCCCCACACAGCATTTCATATGTGTGCTCAGCTTTAGAGCACAAATTGTACTTCTGTCTGGTTTCTTCCTGACCCAAACTATGTAGTTCAGCCATATGTTCAGCTTCATCTCAGCTAGGGCTTTGAGCCAAGTGATTCTTTGTGGTTTACTTTAAAATAATCTCTTGGGAAAAGGGATCTTTTTGAGATGGTGACATGATATACAAATTTTTTTACCTAGAAATTTGAAGAGGATTTTCTAACTTGAAAGCTTAATCAATTCCCTTTTGACTTTAGTATTGTTTTTCCTTTTATATAGCTCAAGTTAGCCTAGAACTCTTAGCAATCCTTCTACCTCCTGCTTTAATATTATAGACACAAGTTACTACACCTGGTGTTAATTTTAGGATTCGTAATAAATGTGTAAAGGCTTCTTAAAAATCTTAACTACTTTTTTTGACTTAGTTATGGTGTCATGTATCTATGTTCCAGCACTTGAGAGGAAGGATGTGAGTTCACAGCCAGTCTAAGGCATGTAGTAGTACTACTCTGTCTCAGAAAGCCCTAGTCCATCATTCCCTACACCAAAAATGAATGAACAAGAGAGGTTATCAAATCTTAATAATTTCCTCAAAAAAAATTCAGTTGTACTTGGCACCTTTTAGGACATACTGGTGATGTGAGATGATATATACTTTTTTGGTTTTTTGAGACAGGGTTTCACTGTGTAGCTCTGACTGTCCTAGAACTCACTCTGTAGACCAGACTGGCCCTGAACTCAAGAGAGATCTGTCTACCTCTGTCTCCAGAGCACTGGGGTTAAAGATGTGCCACTACTACCCAGAAAAATTAGCTAATTTTTACTGAGTCAAAAGTGAGGGCTTTTTTGCATATTCATTTGTTTACTTTGAATATGCATGTATGTAAGTCAGGATGACTTTCGGGAGTTGGTTAGTTGGCTCTTTCCTTTTACCATATTGGTTCATCAGGAGGTTGAATTCAGGTAGTCAGGATTGGTGACACGAACCTATGAGCTGTCTCACTAACCCAAAAAAGTGATTCTTTTAGGACTGCATGTATAGTTCATTGGGGTAGTGCTTGTCTAGATGATACTAGGTCGACAGTTCAGTCTCTACAATACCCCCATTAAAACAACAAAATCTCCCTAAATATGATTTTCTAAAAAGGCTGATTAAAATGTATTCTGCCTCTATTTATATTATATGTTTGCATTAAAGATAGAATACTAACTCTAAAATATTGAAAATTTCTGATTGTGCTTCTAATACAGCTATTCTTTTGTGTTTGAGTTAGAGGGGTCTTACTGAATAGCCCAGGTTATCCACAAGCTCATGATCGTAGTCTCTTCAAACATCCGAAGTGCTGTGATTAAAGAAATTTGTCATCATACCAGGCTAAAGAGAAATACCTTTAATTTTTGTAGTATTGACAGTTGAACTTAATTCTGCTGTTTTCAAAGTAAAAACAGTCTTTGATTGTTTCTCTTGGAATTTTGCTTGAGGAGAGGAACATTTTGAAATAAGAAAAGTTAATAAATGGTAATCAAGATGTTCATTGTTGAGTTAATTTTGAAAATAAATGAATATGGTTTGGTTACAATGTTTGTACTTGGGAGGTAGTGGCAGGAAGATTAGAAGTTCAAGGCAATCCTTGGCTACATACTGCATTCAAAGCTAGACTGGGCATATGAGATTCTGACTCAAAAAAGGAAACAAATGAATATTATGTTATCTAGAAGCTAATGACTTTCCTAGCCCTGGGGTCTATGATTGTTTTCCTGTGAAGTTGGAGTCTATGTTACATAAAATTGCAATAAGATAGACATTAAAGTTGTCTATTTTACTGCATTTTAGCCATGTTTATACAATTGACTGGCATTAAGTATATTTGTATTTTTGTGTGACCTTCGATGCCATTTATTTCCAGAACTTTTCATCTTCCCTTACTTCAGTATTAAACAATAATGTCCCTGGCAATCACGAGTTTACTTTGTATCTTTGAATTTGACTGCTGTAAGAACCAAATACAACTGGAATCCTGCAATATTTGATTTACTTATTTCACTTAGAATAGTGTCTTCAAGATTTGATTTTGTAGTTATATGTCAGAATTTCCATCCTAAAAACAAATGTTTTATAAATATATATATATATATATATATATATATATATATTCCATATCTTATTTACCTCTACCTCTTAGTAGAGGTAAATAATCTTTTTGCTGTTGTGAATGACTTAAATGTTTTAGAAGTAATTTTAAGGGAGGTAGCAGTGCTTAATGAAGCACTTGCCTAGCACATGTAAGGCCCTAGGTTCAGGGCATCAACACAAAAAAGTGATTTTGTTTTTCCGAAACAGAGTTATGTATCCAGGCTAGCCTCAAAATTGTTATGTGTTTTGTGTTCTTGTTGTTAATACTGTTTACTAAGCCGGGCGATGGTGGTACACGCCTTTAATCCCAGCACTCGGGAGGCAGAGGCAGGCGGATCTCTGTGAGTTCGAGGCCGGGCTGGACCGATAGCCTCCAAAACAATACAGAGAAACCCTGTCTCGTAAAAACCAAAAAAAAAAAAAAAAATACTGTTTACTAAGAGTGTAGAAGGCAGAGTTGGGTCATGATTCAGGCTGTAAAGTGCTTGCCATGCAGACATGAGAACTTGAGTTTGGATCCCCAACACCCACGTAAAAAGTAGGGCATGGTGATATGCATTTGCAATCCTAGCACTGGTGAGGAAGAAATAGGATCTCTGGGGCATGCTGACTAGCACATGTAGCAGACTTGTTGAACCCTGAGATCAGTGAAAGACCCTATCAGAAAAAATTAGGTCAAGAAAGATAGAAGATGCCTGCCTCAACTCTGGCCTCCACATGCATGTGCACACATACAAAAAGAGCTTTAATTTTTCTTTGTTTTTCTCCAGACAGGGTTTCTCTGTGTGACAGCCCTAGCTGTCCTGGAACTATCTCTGTAGACTTAGGGTGGCCTTGAACTCACAGACATCTGTCTGCCTCTGCCTCTCTGCCCCTCTCTGCCTCTCTGCCCCTCTCTGCCTCTCTCTCTGCCTCTCTGCCTCTCTGCCTCTCTCTGCCCCTCTCTCTGTCTCTCTGCCTCTCTCTGCCCCTCTCTGCCTCTCTCTCTGCCCCTCTCTGCCTCTCTGCCTCTCTCTGCCCCTCTCTCTGCCTCTCTGCCCCTCTCTGCCTCTCTCTCTGCCCCTCTCTGCCTCTCTCTCTGCCTCTCTGCCCCTCTCTGCCTCTCTCTCTGCCCCTCTCTGCCTCTCTCTGCCTCTCTCTGCCCCTCTCTGCCTCTCTCTGCCTCTCTGCCCCTCTCTGCCCCCCCTCTCTCTGCCTCTCTCTGCCCCTCTCTGCCTCTCTCTGCCTCTCTGCGCCTCTGCCCCTCTGCACCTCTGCCCCTCTGCGCCTCTGCCTCTGCCTCCACCTCCCAAGTGCTGAGTGCACCACCACCCAGCACAATTTTTCTTTTTTGGCAATGCTGTGGATTGAACCCAGAGCCTCAGTCATGCTCATCAGATATATTCCTAGTGCCACTAACTGGCTTCTGTATGTGTCACTTAAGATGTGTGGTCATATAATATAAAGTGTGTGGTCATATAGTATATAACAAGATGTGTGGTCATATAACTTAAGATGAATAGCCATATAACTTTTATTTCATTTGTTATTAGTACCTTCCTCTTTTGTTACTATTTTCCACCCACTTTTAATTTTTAGCTTAAGTAGCATTATGTATGAAATAATGTATTTGAATCTTGTCATTGAATTTGTTTACATAAGTTATGTGGCTTGATCTGTTGAGGGGGGCTTGGCAGTGGGACCAGGACCTATGCCAGATACATGAACTGGCTTTTTGGAGCACATTCCCTAAGGTTGGATACTTTGCTCAACTTTGGACAGAGGGGGAGGGGCTTGGCCCTGTGTTAACTTGATATGCAAGACTTAGTTGACTCCCCAAAGAAGGCCTTACCCCTCTGAGGAGTGGAGGGTAGTGGGAGAGAATTGAGGTTAATATGTAAAATGAAAAAAAAATTAAATTAAAAAAATTATGTGTATAAATCTTATTGAATGTAGTAGTTATTGCATGCATACATGGAGGCATTTTTTTTTTTTGAGAAGGATTTTGTTTGTTTTAAGACAGACTAGCCTTGAATTCATGAGCTCAAAAAAATCCTACCTCTGCCTACCTGAAACTAACGGCATCTACCATGATACCCTTTGAGGGAAGATTTTTTGTTTTTTTGTTTTTTGATTTTTTTTAAGTATTTCTTTACATTTCATGTCCTTGAGAATACTTGATAGAATTACAGTATAGGACTCTGCACTTTTAAATTATGAAATCAGCCATGCGACCTAATTAAGGTAATGTTTATATGTACTTTTTTTCTTCAAATAGGTTTGCAACGTTGTACAAGTCACCAAGCCAGAAGGAATCCACAATACCGTTTCAGATTACAGTGAGTATTATTTAATCAGAATGGGATTTTGATGTTGGTAGCGGTCATGTACAAATGGTTTCTGTTAATCTTGTAAAAAGCAAGCATATTTGAGGACAGCTTTGATGTGTGGACATCACCAAAACAGTACTTACAAAGTACTATAGTCACAGTTGAACTGAAATTTATCCTTGAGAACAGAAGAAATACTTAGATATGTTCCATGACATCTGTAAGATCTAAAAAGATAGATTTTTATGTTCAAAGTTTTCAGAAAGGGAAAGGTACAACTGGGCATGATCGTACATGCCTGAGGTACACAGATCACTAAGTTCAAGGTCAGCTTAGTGAGCTTGAAGTCCTGTCTCAACAGCAGGAACAACAAAAAAGGAAAATATTAATATTAGTAATTTTGGTTAGAGATAGTTGTAACACTTTGAAATGTTAATTTTCTGATCATGTACATCATTGGACTCCATACTCAAGTTGGCCTAGAACTCACTACAAAGCTGAGCGTGACCTTCATTGTTTAATATTTTTTAAGCTTTATTATTATTTTATATGTTTGCGTCTGTATACCATTTGTGTGCTTGGTGCTCAAGGAGGGTGAGCCTCCACGGGGGTGCTGGTACTCAAACTTGGGTCTTTCTCAAGAACAAGTGCCCTTAACCACTGAGCCAACTCTTTCCAGCTCTTGTTTTTGTGGTTTTGGTTTTTTTGTTTGTTTGTTTTGTTTTTTAAACAAAACCTGGCTGTCCTGGAACTCATTCTGTAGACCAGGCTGGCCTGAACTCACAGAGATCCATCTGCTTCTCTGCCTCTCAAGAGCTGGGATTAAAGGTGTACACCACCACTGCCTGGACCATCTTACTATTATAAGGATAAAAAGAAAAATGGAAAGCAATCCTGGAATTGAATTCTCCATTTAGTTTTTACACTATCCATACTTAATTTACTCACACTAACCTGCACTTAATTGTTTTGTGTTTTTGAGGATAGTTTTGTTATATATAGTTCGGGCTGGCCTTGAACTTTTGATTTGACTGCCTGAGGGCTGCTACTTATTACAGATGCATGCCACATACTAGGCAGAGTATTTTGTGAAAATGATTTATAAAGCACCTGAGTACCAGGACAAACTGCTCCTTTCCACTTCTCTTGACAGGTGTTGTAAGGCTTATCAGGATTCTTTTTAGAGAATTTTCTTATTGTTAACTTGGGCCAAAGGGTTTTGGGCCTCACCACTAAACTACGAGTCTTAGAGAACATCCTGATGCAGTGTTATTTAAAAACTATTTGGAAAATGCATCTTTATTTTAAGTGGTATTTGTGTATTTCTTCATTTTTCAGCCTCAGGGATTTAGAGATGCTGCTGTCACTGCTTCTTCATCACAGACAAGTTCTTCAAATCTCCGGAAACGATCACGAGAACCAGAGGAAGGATGCTGACCCAAAACTAATGTCAGTGCATATAGTTAGACTCATGATGTGATATTCCTTGTAGTACACACAAGTAGTTTATACTCTATAAAATATAAGCACATACTATGGCATGAATGAATCAGAATTACATGATGTGAATGGGAAAATATTTACAGAATTGTTTCTGAAGAAAGCTCCTCCTCCCTTTTTGTCCGCGTGTGTATGCCATGGTGTACATGTAGTAAGAGGACAACTTTTGGGGAGTCTATTTTCTACTTCTGCTTTTCATTTTAATTTATTTTTATGTATATGGGTAGTTTCCCTGTATGTGTGTATGTTTACTATGTGTGTGCTGGTGCCTACAAGGCCAGAGTAGGCTGGTGGATCCCCTGGAATTGGGGTTACAAATGACAGTGAAGGTCCTAGGAAGTAGACTTCAGTCCTCTGCATTAGCACACACCTTTATTCCCAGCACTCGGGAGGCAGAGGCAGGCAGATCTCCGTGTTCGAGCCCAGCCTGGTCTACAGAGTGAGTTCCAGGACATCCAGGGCTACACAGACAAACCCTGTCTCTGAGGGAAAATCCAGTCTTTATCTTTCTTGCTGTCTCCAATTGGTTTTGACAAACAAGTCAACCTGGCAGATGGTTGTAGCACGAATAATAAAAACCAAGAGACCGATATTGGCGTTCAAGCTGAAGAACAGAAAAACAAAGCAGCCAACCACTAGAGAGAGGGTTCTTACCTCTACCAAGGTTAGGGCAATCTTATCCTCAGCATGACTGCAAAGTGAATGCATCATGGCTAACTAGTGTGGCTGCTGGGATTAAAGGTGTATACTGCCATTGCCTGGCCTGTATGACTGACTAGCTTTGCATTCTGATCTTCAGGCAAGCTTTATTAGATCACAAACAATATATCACCACAAATGGTAGTTGCATTTGGATTTCATTTTCGAGTTAGATTATATAATCAATTAAAAAGGTAGAGATTTCCTTTTATTTCATGTCATCAATATGATTGCCCTTTCTGGTAATTGATGTGCATACATGAATATTGATAATGTGACTTGTAAGTATTCATCAAAGGTTAATGTGGCTAAAAGTTTACTTCCCAGGGAGTTATTATTTGAAGGTAGTGGAAACTAAGAAGTGGGGTCTGATGGGAAATCTTTAGATCATTGAGGGTGTACTTCAAAGAGTTTCGTGGGACCCCAAGTCTCTTTTATTCTCTTGCCTCCTGGTCCTGAGGTGAGCAGTTTAAATGTGTCATGTGTGCATCTGCCATTGCCATCTGGCAAACCCACCAGAGGCCTGAAAACAATGAGTTTGTGTGATGATGGGCTACAACCTCTAAAACTGAGCCAAAATAACCCTTTTATCTCAGCTATTACAGTGATGAAAAGCTAACACAAATATATTTGTGTGCACACAGAAAATATTTCCAAGATTTATGAGTGTTTTGGCTGCTTATGTATCTGCGTACCATGTGTGTGCCTGGTGCCTATAAAGCTCAGGAGAGAGTGTTAGATCTCTTGAAACTGGCATTGCTGGTAGTTCTGAGAGACTCTGGAGGTGCTGGGAGCTGAACTTAGGTCCTCTGCAAGAACAGCACATGCTCTAAACCTGCTGGAACTTCTAGTGCCCCGGGGTGGCTTGTTTTTAACTGGCATATTCTTTGTACATACTAATTGGTTTCATGAAGACTTTTGGTTTTTGAGACAGGGTTTCTCTGTAACAACAGTTCTGGCTGTCCTGGAACTCCGCTTTTGTAGACCATGCTGGCCTTGAATTCACAGAGATCCCCGTCTCTGCCTCCCAAGTGCTAGCATTAAAGGTGTGTAGGTGTGTACCACCCATTCTTCATGATGACATTTTAATGTAGATGTATATCATGTATTCATTTCCAGTGTTGTTAATGTCATTTCCATGTTTTACCATGTTGTGGACACAACTAGTACAACATAAGCTGGTAATATAGTTTGCTGTAAAACTCATTTTGGGAAGAATGGACACTAGAAATTTATGTTGTCCATTGCTGCACTTGAAAATCAATTTGGTTCCAAATAAGTATAGGTGTTTATTATGATAAAATATAAAGTTAAAAGCTCATATAACCTAATTCAGCACCTGGTTTTGTTTATTTTTAGGATACAGGCTTAACATTTTTAATATAGTTGTTACATATCTATATTGCTAGAGAAAAACTTAGAGATCATTCCATCGGGCTGGGGAGATACCTCATTCAGTAAAATGCTTGCAATTCAGGCATGAGGATATGAGTTCCATCCTTGGAATACACAGGAAAGAAACATGAGACAGGCAGATCACAGGTTCATGAGCCAGCCAGCCCAGTTCAAGCCAGTGAGGCCATCTTAAAAGGGTAGGGTGTACAGTCCCTGGGAAATGAGATGTTGAGTTGTGATCAGGCCTACACACACACACACACACACACACACACACACACACACACACACACACACACACACAGACACAAAGCCATTCTACCAATATCTTTCCTGTGTAATGCATGTGTTTGTGTGCACATTTGTGTATGTGGTTGAATGTGGTTGTGTTGATCCACAGTCCACATGGGGTGGATGGTCCTTGCTTTCTACTGAGTTTGAGACAGTATCTCTTTGTATTGACCAGGCCAGCTGCTCTGCAAGCTCCCAGGGGGCTCTGCTGTCTCTGCCTCCTGATAAGCCACACGAGTGCCAGGATTACAGGTGCATGTTCTTGACCACTGGCCATCTTCCATCCCCACTGCTTGATTTTTGTCAATAATGTTCTTAATCAAATTCTTCAATTGGTGATAAAATTATAACTGATTGAATGATCCTAGGACTAAAGTTACAAGACATACATTCTAACTCTGCCTGAAGTAATATCAATTTGGACATCTTTATTTTTCATATTTATTTATTTTTTTGGTTTTTCGAGACAGGGTTTCTCTGTAGCTTTGGAGGCTGTCCTGGAACTCACTTTGTAGACCAGGCTGGCCTCGAACTCACAGAGATCCGCCTGCCTCTGCCTCCCGAGTGCTGGGATTAAAGGCGTGCGCCACCAACGCCCGGCTCATATTTATTTTTACTGCCTTATTTATAATCAAGATTTGTTTATAAATGATGGTTTGACTTTCTATCCTCTATTTTTATAAAGGCATTATGAGACAGTCACTGAAAATTAGTAACTCTGAAAATATTTACTTTCAAGATCACAGAGGTGTGGTAACTATGTTCCTGTAATCCCAGTACTCAGGGGGCTGAGGCATGAGGATTGCTGCTAGTTCCAGCCTAGCCTGAGATGTACAGCAAGACCATATGTCAAAAATAAATAAATAAAACAATAAATATCAGTAATATTCAGATTATATTTAATTTCAGATTTGAGACAAAGCTGAAGTGTTCTATTGCTTAAAAAACATATTGAGTTACAGGAGAGAAGCTAACTGTTCAAAATATGTATTTTTAGTTACCTAAACAGTGCCTAAATTTACTGTTACTGTTAAAATTTACAGAACATTTTGCTCCCTTAGAACTGATTTTGGCATAAAATTTGTTGACAAGATTTCGTATATTTTTGACCACAGTATATTTCTTTGCTTGTTTTCCAGTTTCAGTTCACCTTTGACATAGGCTTTTTGATATTTCAGCTGTTTGTCTTCCATTGTGTGTAGTGAGATGTGAGTTTTTAAGCATTCTATTACTTTAAATATAGTTTTATTGTGTAATTTATTTTATGAAGATATAAGAATTATACCCATTCAGAGCCAGGCGTTGGTGGCACACGCCTTTAATCCCAGCACTCGGGAGGCAGAGGCAAGCGGATCTCTGTGAGTACGAGACCAGCCTGGACTACCAAGCGAGTTCCAAGACATCCTCCAAAGCCACAGAGAAACCCTGTCTCGAAAAACCAAAAAAAAAAAAAAAAAAAAAAAAAAAAAAAAGAATTACACCCATTCAAAAGGAATGGAGGGAGAACTCAAGGAGATTATATCCTACCTACTTTCAGAAATAAGTTGCAAGATAAGGGACAAAAATCAAGCAGTGATGTAAAGAGAATTTATGTCAAGAAGCCATATAAAGTGAGGCTCAAAGAGTTATAATTACAAAACTAACTGGTTCAGTGATAGGAAGTACATTAGTTCTTAGAAAGAAAAAAAATGTTAAAATGAAGACAAAAATAAGTAGAATGACTTAATAAGTACCCCACCCCCAGCCAGATGGTGGTGACATGTGCCTTTAATTCTAGCACTGGGAAGGCAGAGGCAGGTGGTTCTCTTGAGTTTGAGGCCAGCCTGGTCTACAGAATGAGCTCCAGGAGTGTTACACATAGAGACTGTGTTTCAAAATGCAAAAAACATGCTCCTCTCCCCCTCCCCCCAAAAATATTTAATGACTTCTAGGCACTTTTCTTTTGGTGCAGGATTTAAATTTGAAAAGCACTAGATTTAAGGAAAAAATCTCTAGTCACTTGGTTCCTTTTTTTTGAGGCAAGGTCTCACTATGTAGCCCTGACTGGCTTGGAGCTCACTCTGTAGACCAGGCTGGCCTTGAACTCACAGTTCTGCCTGCTTCTGTCTCTCAAGTGCTGGGATTACAGGAATTTGTCACTATGCCCCATCACTTTGGAATTAATAGTTCTCACTGTGATACATAATATAATTGTGGGATTTATGTATTTGTTTCTTGTACATTTATTAACATTAGATGATATCCTATGAAATTAAATTTGGAACATATTTCTGAGGTCTCAATGTTCAAGTTTCTGAACTTTGTTAAAAACTCATTAAGATAAATGTTGCAGTACTTTAAAATAAATTATTTAGCTCTTTTAACGGAAGATGGGTACAGTAGGTCCTCTTGAATCTAAAAGATTTGACCGATACAGCACCATAAATAAAAGTAAAACTGTTTACTCCTAAGACTAGCTAATACAAAACTCTGCTCCATCCCCTCATTGAGACACTCACTTCTTTGTTTTTATTTACTTATTATTATTATTATTATTTTATTGTAGGTTGAACCTAAGACCAACC